TTACTAGTCTTATAGTATTTTGATAAAACTTTCTTTTAAATTTATTAAGTATCTTATGATTGCAGATAATTCCTTTATCCTTTCTCTAATTAAACCACCCAACTTATGTCATATGTGAAATATCTCCATCAATTCATAGCTTGTTAAATGAATGAATATCCAAGCAAAATATGCAGCTTGTTATATTCTATGGTTAAGGTGCTAAAATACTCACTAAGTAGTTGGTCAAAATTATTCAGTAACCTGAAATGAAAAAAAAGGAGTAAAACCATCCATAACATTATTAAAATTGGTGCAAGAGTGACCAAACCATTAATTTGTCTTGATGTCAATAGTTTTTGATGTTAAATGCTTATTGCACTTACTTTGTGTCAATTGTTGTTAACATGGACTAAAAAATAGGAAAAAATATTCACAAAATTATTGACTAAAAGCATTCAGTAGTCTAAAATGAAAAAAGAATATGAATACCTATAACATTACTTCATTAGGTGCAATAGTGATCAATTTTTGCCACTATTGCATATAATAAAGTAATGTTATGGGGATTCCTATCCTTTTTAACATTGAAAAAGTATAGTTAGCATTTAACATTAAAAATTAATGTCGTCAGGGCAAGTTAACGGTTTAATAATTTTTATGCCAATTTTAATAACGTTATTGGTATCTTTATACTTTTTTTATTTTAAATTATTGAATGCCCCTAAAGACCACTTAATAAGTATTTTTACATCTTAATCCTATACTCTATTCTACAATTTGAAGGTTCAATTAAATTAGATTTTCTTTTTGCAACATTTGGAAGATTTGATCCGAGCAAATAGCAAACTATAACCTTCTTGTGAGACCAAAACTTTTAAGAAAAATTGGCACTTTGTGGTCAATAATTATATTTTAATACTATTGAAATGTTCGTACCAGATGGACGGTTAAGCTTCATCTGAAATGGACGGTTAGAGGCAACAATGTGTCGTTTCGTGATTCAATCGTCTTCACCTTTTTTGAGTTTTTTCTGATTCCTGAGATCAACAAGTGAAAACAAATATGAATAGAGGAAGACGCAGTGTCATTAAAACGAAACCGACCACACCCTGACCTAAAATCACGAAGTGAAAACAAATATGTTTGATTGCGTCTAAACTGAAAACTTAGGTTACCCTCATCAGCCGCTTTTTTTTGTCTCTCTCTGTCGTGTGGGCCTCCAAGCAACTTCCAAAAAGGATCCCTCTTTCAAATTTTAAAATAACTTCTAGCATTTTTTTAAATGTTTTCCAATAAAAATTAATTTACTTAAAATTTTTTTTTTGTTATCAGAAGAGTTAAAAAATAAAACTAGTCTACTCGATTGGTTGAAACAATAAATTATTACATTAATATTTTGATCGATTTAATAACAAAATTTATTTACGATCAGTTTGCTTATGATTTATTAATCTAATTACAATTTTAATTTTTAATATTTGAATCAATATTTTAAATGGTTTCATGACCCGTTCAAATTTTAATACCTTGTTTATTATTAATATGATAATTACTACTGGCATATTAAACCCTAGTTAGTATGAGATAATGTAAAATATGACACTAGTTTTAAACACCAGCCACAATGGCATAAGTTAAAATATGAAATCAGCGAAAAAGTAGCAAATTTCGGCGAGGTTCACACGTTAAAGTCAACGATGAACAATTGAACAGAACTCCTGAGAATTCAATAATTTTCTCCCCCGAAATTATGTCACAAATAAAACTTAAAAATAAGGAGTACCTAAAATTCAAAGACAAACCAGAGCATGGCCTACATTGAGCAGAGAAAAAATAGGATAAATACAATATTTTATCTTTATATTTTATTCACATTTTATTCTTGATCCCTATATTTTTTTGATATTTTAAATCTCTACACTTTTATTTTTATTATTTTATTATTTTATAAAAATAATGAAAAATAAAAGTGTAGGAATTTAAAACATGAAAAAAAAGTATAGAGACCAAAAGCAAAATGTGAGCGAAGTACATTAATTAAAAGTTATGTTTACCCGAAAAAATATTATTCCTTTCATCTTAAATTATAAGATATTTTTATAAAAGATTCAATATCTCAAAATTTAAGATACTTTAATAAAAATAAAATTTTATTAATAATACTTTTTTAATATTATTCTTTCCATATATTCTTTCTTTTCAATATTCTTTTATTAATTGAGTATTAAATGAAAGATATTTTTAAAAGTTTATATTTTTATCTTAAAAAAATAAGATTGTAAAATGTATTTAACAAATTTTATTGATATGTGAGATTTTATTTAAAAGTGTATTATAATTTAAGATGAAGGGAGTATTTATTTAAATATTTTAATTTTATAAAATAAGTGAGAAATATAAATGCCAGATATGACAATTTCAGTAGGTAACATGCACGCACGCTTCACCAATCACCAATAATATAGTGGAGTTGAAAATGATGTCTTAACCTTTATTTGTTTTGATATAAATTTCTAGAAAGGTGTGCTCTACGATGATTGACAATGGACATATTATTTTTTTAAAATAACCTCTTAAAAATCAAATATAAATAGTTTTAATAACGGACGGGGCATGAATTTAATGTGTTGTGAATTATTAAATTCAGAATTAAATTTGATTAGCTTACGTTGCAACTTGTAAAGTTGAAGACTTGTGGATTTGTGCTTGATGCTAATCTAATTATCAAAAAATTACATCATGATTAACTGTTATAACTTTTAATTTATTCATGAACACTCCATTTAAAGTTTGATAAATAATATTGCTCGCTGTTTAAAAAGATATTAATTGGGTTTGACTAAATAATACTAAAAAAAATGTTGAATCGCTGCAATAAAATGTTATGCCCTAAAATTTTTTCCAACAAAAAAAAATTAAAATACTACCTAATTAATAGTTATAATTTTTAGATGATGTTATTGCTTTATGCCTAAGCAATTTATTAGGTACTTTTATTTTTTAATAATTTTTCTGGATAAGACTTTTGTTGCCATTATTCTCATCGATAAGGCTTCACATCTAATAGATACTCTGGAATATTTGACATCCGGAGCATAATTTTTTTATATATATTTTAATCTTTTTGAACATGAGAAGTAAGTTTGTCTACAAATATTCTCTTTTTAAAAATCCTAAAAAGAATGGTAACCTCTTTCAATTATGTTATTAGTATAAGAATTGAGATTTAAATTTTTAATTATTTATTTAAATGACGAGAGTTTATATTACCTAAGTTGAATTTAATTGATTATTTTTTATTTTTTAAATTATATGAAAGCTCAATAAAGCAAAAGGGAAAAACAAAGAACGGAAGGACAAGGAAAATGAATTGAACTTAGCCTCACTGAATCCTTCAAAAGTCACTGCTCTGCGAATTGAGCAGCAAATACAATGTGCCATGACCACGTGTCGTCCAAAAGTTTGACTTTCAATGTCTTCGACCCTTTCTAATTTCCCTTCCCAGAATTAAATCCAGGATTTTTTTATAATTGTATTTCGTACATAAGAAATTAATAAAAAAACTTTGATAACTAAAGGAGGTGTAATTCAGATTGTACAGCACAAGTCATGTGTGAGTGGCTAAGTACCGCTTTGTTTTTTTTTTTTTAAATTTCTCATGGTCACACTTGACTATGATATATACCAGGGATTAATTAAGTTGTATTGACAAAAAAAAAAAAAACAGGTGAAAACTACAAATTTCATTTAATATGAGAGTTTGAAAAATTAATTTACCTAATACAATTTACAACCCACATTTTGTTAACAATTATAAATATTGCAATTTATTTTTTAAAATTTCATGTCGTGTATTGCGAATATTTAATTTAAAAACAATTAATCTAGCAACCAAGAAAATGCATCTATATTCGCTGGTTCTTATCTTTCTGTTCTCTGCCATTCAAACGGTGAAGGTGATTCATTAAGTATATATAATAATATGTTATTTTCCGATTTTCTTCCCTCTCCTCACTTCAATGCTAATTCACTTCACCAGCAAACATATTAAACAAATTTTCTTATAATCGTATAGTTACGAGAATTAACTCAAGAATAAAAATACGTAAAAGTTACTTTGTCTCTCAAATTGTTTGATCTACAAAATCTAGGAAATTCTTGCTAACGACACAGCTACAAAAATAATCAAGAAGTATTTAAATTTAAGACTCAAGTATTCAGATTTCTATAATTCGACAATTACCAACTTTCTGGGTTTTGAACCAAACATTTACACTTCATTTTCCTGGGGCTTGTCTCAATCCAGTGAAGAGTGAAGAGTGAAGATGACTTTTAAGACAAGCCTTGCTATATTTTCCTTTTTGGATAAGCATAAGTATTGCTTCTTGGTTAATTAAAAAACTTTAAGCAATTCTCTCTCCCTTTTGTCCAACACCTTACAAGTTTTTTTTTAAAAAAAAAACTAGATAAATTAATTTCCCATACTTTTCAAGGCTCCAGCATGCCTTCCTCTCTTTTTTTCAATAAAAACTATTATATGAATTATTAGGTGTACCATGTTTTGACAAATAAAAATATGCTCTTTCAAATGTTTGTAAGTATAAATTAATTTTATCGTTTATGATGATTAAAAAAAAAGAAAAAACACAAATTAAAGACATTCTATTTAAAAAATAAAGTTATTAAAAATAATTGTATATATGATATATTTTTATTAAATAAAATATAAATAATGTGATATATCAGGCTATGTATATGAATTTCGCTGTACCAACTAAATTAATATTTATCGACATCTTCTTCTAAGTTTTATCTTTTATTTTGTATTATTCCGCAGGCAAAGGAAAATTTGATGGCTTTGCGGCACCAGCCTACACTGGCCACATATCGATAGAGACAGCCAGACCACATAGGAACACACGTGACACGTCATTCACACGTGTCAACCTCGAACCACACGTCACCCCTCTCTTCCATTAAATATGCTTGCTTTCTTCCCCTTCTTTCAAACCCCGCATCCTTTATTATCACGAATTCCCGATATTCTTCGCTAACCATCCCCACATAGACGCAAACACACTTGCCTTCCTCTAGTTCTGTAATTTCAGTTCCCTTCTGTGCATTGTATCTTTTCGAGTCCTCTTCCTTCTCAAATCCTTCATTAAGTAGCTGAATCAAAATGGTGGCTCTGGTTTCCCAAGATAATGCCGTCGTGTTGGTCTCTCGCACCGGCCGGCAATTGCAGCGTTACAGAAAAGGTCGCCGTCAAGTCGTCGGGTTCGTCTCTTTCTCTCATTCACAGTATCTCCACACAGAATCTGGGTCCCCATCCATCCCTAGTTTCAAGCTTTACCCAGCAAAAAGAAAAAAAAAAAGATTGTCTCTTTCTGTAAAATACACGAGCTTTTCTAACTTCTATTACCATTTAGCCATGACACAGAAGAAATTCACTGGTTATGAAGTTTCTAACTCGTGTGTTTGCAATATAATCATGCAGGTGTATACCATACAGATATAAATTCGGTGAAGAAGCTTGTTTGAAGGAGTCAGAAGAGTTTGGATTAGAAGTTCTAGTTATCAGTTCTCAGAAAGGCAACGGAATGCTGTTTCCAAAGGTACAGAAATCTGAGTCAATAAAGCACACCCCAAGAAACAAGACACAACGCAACAAACACAATGTTTTCTACATTTATTAAAAATGTCCTGTGGTTGACCCATTACAGGGAGGCTGGGAACTGGACGAATCCAAAAAGGAGGCAGCTTTGCGAGAGACCATTGAAGAAGCTGGTGTGCGAGGCATTGTTGAGGTAACCCCACGTGCTCTAAACACTTATTTTTACTGATCAATATCCATGGAAGTCCCTAATTCAACAAACTAAAATGCTCTGCTCTGATCTGTTGTGTTGTGTTTGAAGCAGGGTAAATTGGGGAAATGGAGTTTCAAGAGCAAAACTCATGATTCATTCTATGAAGGCTACATGTTCCCCCTTCTTGTTCAGGAGCAACTTGAGTTCTGGCCAGAGCAAAACGTCCGTGATAGAATTTGGGTATGTATGAATTACGAACTTCATTTCTATCCAAGTTGGTCAGCTTTCCTTTTTCTCTGAACAGAGGATGAGATCGAGATGAGTCTGATTGAATTGTTCTTGTGTGTGAGTAGATGAGTGTGGCTGAGGCAAGAGAAGTTTGTAGACATTGGTGGATGAAAGATGCATTAGACAGACTGGTGAATCGTCTCAAGACTCAAAGATATGCAGCTGAAGATGATGAGTCACAACTCAAATCAGAATTGTAAATAGTGAATTTTGTGGAGGATGGGATAGAAGATGGAGCTGTTTTTCTTGGCTTTGTCTCGAAGGAATCAGCTGCGGAATTAGTAGGGATCCAAACAAGGACGAGGGAATTGTCAATTCCGTCCGTGTAACCAATCAGGAATTTCACGTTCAATGTACCTGCATGTAGCCAACGTGATTCTGATTAGTTATTAATCAAGAAACAACACCCCCCCCGGGGGGGGGGGTTTGTCTGTAGTATTGGTTTTCCAGTTTGGTGCCATCAGCAGGAGAAGCTGTGGTGTGGGTTTGACGGCGCTGTAAATTGACCTAGAAAGTGTATGAAGTGATTGAGAACTTGAAATTTGGAAACCTTCAACTTATTGGGTTTGTTATAACTCACAAAATTCCGTTGTAATTTCACTGGCTTTTTTGGCTCCACGTGTGTTTTGAAATGCAACCACAAGTTCACTCAACCAAAAAGAAAAGAGATGAAAACAAATACGAGTTTATTTCTAAATTTTTTTGTTCTATTGGTCAAACTTGGGTATTATTGGATTCAATTAGAAATAGTTTTTTTAAGGATGTTTTTTATATCTTTATGAACTCAAATCCAGAATTTTATGCTTAAGCATTATCACTCGTTCTATGACCAATGCCTGTTGATTTGATAGTTATTATGTGCACATTACAAATTCAAGCCCTCATACACCAATCCCAAACATTGGTTTTGAGGATGAAGTCATATTGGCATTTTCTTTTTAGGAGGAAATGCTCTCAGCTTCTCAAAATAAATATCAGATGTCATGAAATGAGAATTAGAATATAAAGATAACCATTTGTTTACCAACCTTGGTTATTATTATAAATTTTTTTAAAAACAGAAGTTTGAAGAATTCGCCAAGAAAGTAAAAGAAAGGTATATTTAAAAAGAAAAAACAAGAAGAAGCTGTAAAGGCCCAGCAATTTTTGTCAAGTATTATGGGCTTTGTGGTAGGTTAGGGCCTTAGGTTTGGCCGCGAACAAAATTTTTCCTTTTCAGCGCCAAGTCAGAATCTGCATGCTTTCTAGCTACTACTGTGTCTATAGCCCATCCTATATCATTCTATCGGTCCGTCCTTTCCTCATTCCACAAGTTCTGGCATTTCTTTTTTTAATTAGAAAAAAAAAATTTGATGAGTTGATAACTTGGTACATCTAAAAGCTCATTAGAGAGATTAAGACATGCCTCAAGACTCCGAAAAACACTTATAAATTGTTTATCAATAAAATTATCACATTAACAATGGAATTCGAATTCATAATCTTATTAATTGTAGGTCAAATTTTTATCAATTGAATCAATTTTTATTGAATACAAGTTCTCGACTTGAAGAGTCAATAAAAAACTATAAAGTATAAATCACGTTCTCTATGAAATTTTAATTTCAAAATGTACAAGTCATTCAAAAGGTTTTTGGTTTTAACATTAAAACCGTCAATATATTGTTTGAAAGTAAAGTTATCACTATTTCTTCGCTGTCACATGGCTTTATGAACCTTCACTAATAAGAATTTATGAATTTTAGTCTATCTCCATTCTACTTGTCTGGATTGAATATGGTTGCCTTTATACTTTTGATTTTTTAAATTTTCAGATAATTTTATAGTGATGTTTTTGGCTCATACTTATTGAAATTATAACACAAATTGATGAGGGGGCATTGATATTGCCCGAACATAGTGTGGGCTGGCCAATGAAGAGATGTGGAGGACAAGAAAGGCAACATATTTCACAACATGCACATTACAAAGACAAGGCATCATAAATTTATTGAGACAAATCTGAAAGCAACACTTCCCTCTTCTGTCTCTCTCACTGCTCTTTTGACAAAGAAACTCACTCTCCTTTCTCTCCACTTCCTGCTTGTGACTAAGTGTATGTGTGTGTGTTTCCATGTACTAGACCAACAGAGGAAAAAAAATTATGAGAAAAAATGAAAGATGAAAATTGACCACTAGTCCGATCTTGATCTCTCGTGAGAGAATGATCTCTGCGCATTAAATCTCAGCATGTCTTCTTCAACATGTCTAGCCCTTACCCCATGCCCATCACATCTCCAAGAGCCTACCTTTAAATCTTGATCAATTCTATATAGATAGAGTTCACCCATAATATATACATAACTTAGCTTAAAATGAGGTTTAAGATATGATACTTTCAAGTTTTGAGTTCAGAAACAGTATAAAGTACTGTTCTTTCTTCTGTATCTTTATCAGTGATTTGAATACACATTATATGCAGAACCTCATTGGATCATATAAATATATGATTGTCCTTTGAGTTTCAAGTGGTGGTAGGGGTCCTTGTGGGGGACCATATGTGTGATTTTCAAACTGCAACATACATAGAAATGAAAGAAAATAGTAGCAGGCATTAATCTGCAGTAAAATCGTTTGTGATTTAAACTTAAACAATAAGCATTCCCGTGAGCATATGATTTTGTTCCAAAAACCATTGATTGGAGTCCCACTTCAATTTCTTGCTGTTGAAGTTCACATGAGAGAGAGACCTTATATATATATATATATATATGTAACTTGTGTATATATCAAACCAACTAGAAGAGTGAATCAGTTGAGTTATTGTGTGATACTGAACCGATGGATATACACAATAAGGCCATTTAGGTGATGATGCAACAAGGTTGGTTCAGTAGTGGAAAATGAACTATTGCAGGCTGCTAAAGGTGAGGGTGACGAGGAGGGTTGGCGTAGTGCGGCATCACAGTTGTCTTGTTCTGTCGTCATTCCAAAAGCATTTTCTCTCCCCTAATAAGCAAAGTGTTGGAGTCTTATCTTAGTCTCACTATTTTCCTTGCTTTTCCAATCCATACATAGATTCCATTGTCGTAATTATTGAGCAGAGAAATGTTTTATATATAGAAATATATAGTTTCTTCAAATTAAAGCTCTCTCTGATGAGTTCTACAGTAGATTCATGCATGACCGACCAGTTAGCTCGCTGTTTCCAGTGATTACTTTGGATAAGTTTCTTCACTGTCTCTTCTTGTATTCTGAAATCTGAACTGATCACTTGTTGTGTTTGTGCATTGTTGACTGTTCATTTATATATAGTTTGGACAAATTTGCATGGAAAATTATAGGAAAAAGATGATACAGAGTTTATCATAGGATTCGAATCACCTGTCCCACCCATCACAAAAGTTTTTTCTTTTTTTTGGGGTAAAAATAAAGTTGATTAGTTAGGGCTATGGCATGGCTCTGCTCTGAAACCAGAGACTTTTGATGTTTTAATTTATTTTACTACCTTGATAAAAGTTCATTATATCTCTTTTCACTACCTTATAAAAGTTATTTTTATATGGTTTCAGAAATAAGAGACTCTTTTACAACTCTCAAGAACTTTAACTGGGTAGGCCTTAAAGCCAATATCTTTCACAGTAGTAATATATTCAATGATAAACTCATGAAAGTTAAAGAGATGGATAACTCTAGTCTTTTCTGGAGGATGTTACATTACCGTGACTGTTACTGAGAAAAGAGCTAGAAAAAGCACTAGTCTGCTATTTGTTTACTGCCTACTTTTCTAACAAGTTTATCTTAATCGCCAAGGTTTCAAGTTTTTCAACCAATGATAGTTTCTTTTTTTCTTTTTGATACCTATCACATGAAAAATATCAACAACAGTTCATTGTTTGCTGCAGCATAGCATTACTATATTATTATATGATCACTTAACACATAGAATTCTTCATTGAAAAAAAAAATGAAAAGATAATACATCAGTTTAAAAGAAAACAATTGAGACACCGCAACGTGAATTGAAGTTTTTTAATCATTTATATGAAACGGGCAAGCCATGGGATTTGCCTATATAAAGCAACTCATTAAACAAGCTCACGGGTCCTTCTTCTTCACTTGCAATATTCCTCCATGAAAACTGCTTCCAACCTCACCAACACATTTCACTCTCTCTCATGTTCTCCTCCTTTTAGATAGTTCCCATCCATCTTTCTTCACACACAAACAACATAAACACACTCCGAAACACGTACATATATCGACCTAATTAAAATGGCCCAAACAAGCCCTTTCTTCCTCGTCATTACCATTATTCTCTGCTACCTCCTTGACCCTTCAGTCTTAGCCTCAACTGACTCCTTCCTCTACGGTGGGTGCACCCAGCAACAGTTCATTCCCAACTCACCGTACGAGTCAAACCTTGACTCGCTACTCACCTCACTCGTCAACTCAGCCACTTACTCCACCTACAACAACTTCACCATCATCGGCTCCAGCGCTCAGGACGTCGTCTACGGCCTCTACCAATGCCGCGGCGATCTGTCCATGCCCGACTGCGCCGCCTGCGTGGCCCGCGCCGTCACGCGAGCCGGCGTCCTCTGCGAGCAGCGTTGCGGCGGCGCCGTTCAGCTCGATGGCTGCTACGTCAAGTACGACAACGCCACGTTCTTAGGCGTCGAGGACAAGACGGTGGTGCTGAAGAAATGCGGACCGTCCGTCGGATACAACTCGGACGCCATGTCGAGCAGGGACGCGGTCATGTCCGGGCTGGCGGGTTCGAGCGGTCCCTTCCGGGTGGGCGGGTCGGGGAAGGTGCGGGGTGTAGCCCAGTGTACGGGGGATCTGAGCTTCGCGGAGTGCCAGGATTGCCTGGGGGAGGCGATCGGACGGCTGAGAAGCGATTGTGGGACAGCGGATTATGGGGACATGTTCTTGGCTAAGTGCTACGCTAGGTACTCCACCGGTGGGTCCCACGGTTACTCCAAGGCCCACGGTAAGGCCCATTTAATCACGCTGCCTCTGCAAGCCGCCTTCTTCTTCTTCATCCTTCCCCTCTCATTCCTCTTCGTTTGATCCAGCAAAACTCGTGGGTTCGTGAAGTGAATGGTTATGCTTTGTATCGGTGTAAAAAAAAAAATGTCATGTGGGTTGAGTGTGAAACCAAGAAAATTCACCAAAAGCAGTGAACTGAACATTGTCTCATCATTTTCTTTTTATTGTCTCACATCATCGTCAATCAACTTACATAACGATAGTATTAAAAATTGGGTGTCAGTTAAATTAATAAATTATTAAATTAATATCTTGATTGATTTAATAAAATATTTTATTTATAATTAATTTGATAACTATTCAATAACAATTTTAGCCATTAATCTTTGAATCGATACATTGAATAATTCAACTATCAATTTAATTTTCAATTTCAATGGAATTTTAAATAATTCAAATATTTTATGTATTGTTCCATTTCATTTTATAATATTCTCTTGATAGCATCTTGATTTGAGTGATTTTTTTTTGGGTAATGTAGCTTCTTGATTTGAGTGGTTTTTTGTAATATATAACGTTGGTGTCGATCCTCACCTGTTGAAACATACATATACCAACGTATGTCTTATCATTAATTAGCTGGTTTTGGATATATTAAGATGAATAGTGATATGTTAATTAGTGTTGTAGTGTTGATTGCTGTTACGTGATGCAGAGAAATCAAATGAAGGAGAGAAGACATTTGCAATAATCATAGGATTATTAGCAGGAGTAGCCATACTTATCATTTTCCTTGCTTTCTTGAGGAAGCTTTGTGAAGATCGCGGTAAGTACTGATCACACACTTTAATTTATCTCTTCCTACCTATTTTTCTTTTATTAAAAAAAGTGATGCACCATTGATTACACTAACTTTATTTTTTTAAAATTCGTTGGTTTAATCATTTCCTATGCAGGTAAGTAAATCAAAGAAACAATAAAAGATTGTCAAGCAGCCCATTTATCGGTCTCTGCCTTCTATGATTCTGCTTTTGGTGGCTACTTTTTTCTTTACTAGCTTTGTCAATTTGTCATCTTCCCATTTTTTTTAAAAAAATAAATTTGAAGAGATCAGATTAAAGAGATCATGGAGGCACATATTGGAATGAATGCAAAAGAAGAAGAAAAAAAGATGAAGGAAAGCGAGAGATCAAAAGATTCCATAATTTGCCCTCCCACTTTAACAAAGTGGCGTGTATCTTTGTGTATTATATATTATTATTGTAATATTATTATCATTAATATTCTTTAATCTTTAATTGTAAAGTTGCATGACACTTATAATGTCCACCCTTTACCGTGTATCACTGGTATATGCGCCTCTCTTCATCTTTTTGGGACATTGAATTTTCATATGATTCTCCTTTTGCTTTCTAAACATGCCTTTTTTCAAAGCTTCTTTAAAAAGTAATAGAAAATATTTATTTGTTTTTTCCCATTAAATATTGCTTGTTCAGCTAACCTGAACGCTAAGTTGTAAATTAGTTGATTAATCTTAAAATAAGATAATATAACTCTTAATCCTTAATTTTTTTTAATTATTAATTTAGTCACTAAATTTTAACTTAGCATAACTTAACCTTTATAATTTATTGTTTTAAAATCCAAACCAATCTAAATTCAAATTAGTCAACGTACTTCTAAGAAAATTTGATTTTTGGGACACTACATGCATGTTATGTGTATTTAGCCTTCAAGATTTAATTTTTTTTATATGTATTTGTTACGTACATGTACTACATAATATATTTAATTATGAAATATAAACATACAAATATACAGCTCAATTTTTCTCTTGTACCATATGTATCGGCTGTCATAAAGCCAATAAGCATTCATCTTCCCTTCACTTGTGAATATTTACACATTTTTTGTAAAAAAAAAAATCACTTCAGCACAATCATCATTTGCAATCCCATTGCCATCCTCATAGTCTTCCCTCTTGTAACAAGAGGTTCTATAATCAAACACCCCTTGTAGTTAAAGGGGGAAAAATTTATGTGTGTGTGGATTGTTGTGTGAAGTATGATGAGTGTACAAAAGGCATGCACATAGAATTCCCTATCCTGTGGGACAGGGTTAGCTAGGTTATTGAAGAAAAAATTCTTTAAATCATTTATTTGAGAATTACTTTTAAGTAAAAAAGCATGGCGAGTAAGTAATTTTTTTTTATTAGTTCAATTAATCTAAAAAGTCAAACTTATTCTAAAATTTTGAATTCAAGTTCTAAAATATTTACTCACGTTAAATAAAAAAAAAACTAGCTTTTACTCTCGGTGCATTATACGAGAAGTTTGCATTGTTTGGTCTTATAGAAGATTAAATGAAACTGGAGTATGAAGAAACCCTTCATGTAAGGATTTTGAATTTCTGATCCACAGATCATATCACTATCCAAACTCACTAAATCTCTAGCTCGGAGTTGGATTCTCTTTGCAGCCATACATTGTCCTAAGTCCTAACAGCTTCATAAAATATCAGTGCTTTAATTGCAGAAAAAAATGAGTAGCATTAGTATAATCAGTTTATTTTTAAGTCTCATATAATGACGTTTTTCATAAAACATACCAATATTTTACAGTACAACAAGTGCATATCATAGAATTGCATGATGTGAAGTGACAACATCTTTTTTGTCACCAACAATAACTTAATTATGTGTCCAATCAAACTCTATACATATTTCAGTGTTCAATATTGTTAGTGGTTAGTGGATAAGAAAGCGAGACAAGACAATCTAATTGAATCCATCCACTCGAGATCCTAATCCTATGACACAAAAGACTAAAAAAGTGCCTCAAGAAAACTTGGACTGTAAAAGCCCTATCAACTTTTACTCCTTCCTTTGTTGTACTGTGCTATGTCTTTTAGCCAAGCATCCTTGAATAACGAAATCTGTGGACTAGCCTCCAGATGAATGCCATCCAAAGCTTCACAATTAAGCAATCACGCGTGTACAGATTTTCATGCTTCAATAGTATTCTCAATAAAGTGTATCTCACCAGACATTCATTATTATTCTCCCCACAAACTGCAAACTGACAAACCCACACAAAGTTCTCTCTTTTTCTTAAGGAAAAAGAAAACATGTCTTCACAATGTGTTTTGGATAATGTGAAAAAAGTTTTACTTTTCTACCAAAGATGGTGTAAAAAAAGAAGAGAGTTTTGACATTTTTCTAAATCAAAAAAAGTTGTCTTGTGTTAGTGTATTCTTTTCACCCTACCTTTCCTCTTCCTTTCAGACCCAATATCTTCAGAATTTATTTTCTCTGAGCAACACGTCCTTTTGTTGCCAAGATGACAAGCAAACTTGACTAGACTTTAATGAATTAACCAAGCAATGAGAAACCCAACGTAAAACTGAACTAGGATATAGCTATAAAATTAAGCACTCGTTAAAAATTTGAAGCAGAGCAAGAGTTAAAATCGAATGAAAGTTAACTCTAAAGAATCGTTCTTGATCTGAACATTTTTAAATGTTGTCATGAAGGAGAAAGGAGTGGTTAGGAAGTGGAAGGTGACCCTTGTATATCAGCATTGTGCAGAGGCTTGTAATTTGTAAACGAGGGGAAGCCTCAGAATCACATTCACATGGCAATACAGAGCTTTCTGATTTCAGACACGTTTGCTTTAGGCGTATCTATCCACAAGGTAATACATGTGCTGATTTCTGATTGGTTTTGGTCATGATGCAACTCTGATTAATTCGGTGTAAAGAGGTTTGATGTGTACAGGCTCTTTGGATGTTGCCTACCCAAGACAAGTTTTGATATTGTCAATATAAAAACAATGTGATTAAAGATCTGTTTGGGACACTTCCTTCTATCAAGTGCCTCGGCTTGAAACGATAAAACATCACAGACAAAAAAATATCCTAGGAAAATTAATCATTTGCTACCTATACTTTCTTTTTTATTAAAAAAAATTACATGAGTTAAATCATAGAAGCTTATCAAAACTAAATGTAAAATATTTACAAATTGCTTACTAACAATCAAAAGATGGACCTGATTCAAAAATCTTGTGAGTTATGGGCCAAATTCTTACCAATTAGACCAACATTTGTTGGTGCTACCTATACTTTTGATTTGGTTAAAATACAATGTTAAATTAAGTTGATATAACTCAATCTTTTAACTATATAAAATTATAAAGATTAAAATTATTTTTTTCAAAGTTAAATAATGTTTTAAACAGAAAAAATTGTATGAAATGAATTTCTTTAAATTAAAATTTAAAAATTAAGTTTTAATTAAATAAAAACTATAAAAAGTGAATTATATCGAGTATAAATTTTAATTGAGTCAAAACTATATGATGAGCAAAATGGAAGGAATCTTTTACTACCATCATAGTTTCAAACAGTTGGAATAGAAAAGGTTCTATTCTCATTCAAGTTCAATAGCACCCAATAATACTTGAATTTTGTTCAATTATTTGAATACCAAATAATTATAAAAAATTAAGTTTATTAGAAATAAAAATATTTTGGCCCAAAAACAAGTGTTTATGAACGAAATCGATTAAAAAAACCCAATACCATTCCCACATTTCGTTTAAAGCCCAATAATGAGTAAAACCCAAAACCCAAATCAGATAGTAGCCCACTAAGTAACCTGGTCTGGTTCTAATTTCAGTCTCGAGAGCGCACCATGATTCCTGAACCATCATGTCGTCTTCTTGTCAACGTGCCATGCATATGCGTCAGACAAGATCCGGGGAACATTCTGGATAGTCGCGATTACTCCTATAAAACCCTTGACCTAACTGAATTTCTGTAGTGTTTGAGCTTCTTCCTTATCTTTCCGGGCAGGTCTACTATCTTGGGCTTTTCTAGGATTCAGATATGGCCGACAGCTTATTCGGGTACCCTTTCAGGCGCTTCTTCTGGAGCCCTCCGATTTTCCGAGAATGGTCAGGATCAGCAGCTCTCATGGATTGGCTTGAATCTCCTTCTGCTCACATCTTCAAAATTAACGTTCCTGGTACCTACCATCATCTTACCCTCTTCAATTTTGATTATTCAACGTTCCTGATGGCGTTGGTACTGATTCAGTAATGTTACTGATCGATTTGTTGATTTGAATAGGGTTCACCAAAGACGACATAAAGGTGCAGATTGAGGATGGGAATATTTTGCACATCAAAGGTGAAGGTGGGAAAGATGAGCATCAACCGAAAGACTCTGTCTGGCATGTGGCTGAGAGGGGAACAGGAAAGGGTGATTTCTCTCGCGCGATTGAATTGCCAGAAAATGTTAAGGTCGATCAGATTAAGGCACAGGTCGAAAATGGAGTTCTCACTGTAATTGTTCCTAAAGATGCTCCAAAATCGCCTAAATTGCGAGCCGTTAATGTCACCAGCAAGCTTTGAGCGATGGAGACTCGGGCTATTGAGATCATCATGGTTTGAGAATATTGAGGACTTAGATAAACTAAATCCTATCACGTGCGTAATCTATTGCGTGTTGTAATTAAGAATGAAAGTGTGATGAACAATAAAGATCATCTAGTCTTTAAAGTGGTACTTTCAACCTGTCTTAAACGGCTCCTCTTATGCTGTAATTTATTCTCATTTGGCTTATTTATAAACACTAGAATTATTTCAAAGAGAAGTGACCAGGTGGATAATGTCATCTGTTTTGTGGTTGATTAAGAACAAGGCATGAAATGCACTGATAGTTGGTCACTTTACAGGAACACTACTTCAACAGACCATAACCACCAGATACACATCAATTCTTAACGACCAAAACTGAAGAAAGTGGTCAGGACGAGGGATCATTTTGCAAATCGGGAGTGCTTGATAAGCCAATTAACGACAACATCGATGTTTATGGAATCCTTGCAAGAAATCATGTAGCAGCAGACCTCTCTGTCTTTGATTGACTCAAGTCCTCTGAGATGATTCAAGATGAAAATCCAAAGAATCTTTCAGATACATACAAGAGATGGAAACTGAACTGAGCAACAATTCATAGAGCAAGTTCTATCAAGTTTTCTGAACTCACAACTGCTCTACCAATGCTTGTTTGGATAGTGCTTCTGACTTGTCAATTTTGTTCCCAAGAACAAGCAAAGGAATCTCACTCATAGAAGGTTTCATCAGGAGGTCATGTAACTCACTTTTAGAGACAGGAATGCTGTCCCTATTAGCAGCATCTACAACATACCTGTCTTTCAATTCATCAGTTGAAAAAACAAATCTTTTAGAAAGGGTATAGTACTCAAGTGTTAAAAAGTTATGTCCACTCTAATAAGCAAACCATAATAAAGACAAAACCATTTTCTGCCTGGGCATGTTTAGCAGAAGTCAAACAACAGTATGAAAAAAGCTGTGAGATCGGCTATGCATGCATGAAACTACTCTAGGATTTCCTAATATGATGTCTGAGCTTTGACGGAGCATTAGACCCTTATAACAATGCAGTGAGACATTCCTTACCAGCTACCACCCACGTTTCATAGCAAGGATCAGTCGTTCTAATAGATTAAGCTTTTAAGTTAACTGGCCCTTGACATAGGTGATCAGTACACATGTACAATTATGTGCTCACTAGGCATATGCAGGGATCATTCAATCCTGTAGAATGGCGTCTCAACAAAGAAAGGGATGAAATGGCAACCTACTTTAAAGTATCTTGAACAAAAATTTGTGCAGTGAAGTGACAATTCATTTCTCTCCAGTCTAAATTCTCATGCAATGGAGTTGCTGTTAGTACTCATACGACTAGTATTCTCTCTTCCGGGCCAATTGTGCTCAAGTTCTAAAATTAGGAGCTATTATAGTTGAAGGAAAAATTATGCCTTTTATATTTATATGCCTGTATGTGTCTGCAAAGAGAGTATTTAGAGATTGGAAGTACACAATAGCAGAAACACCACGACAGTAACGCTCCCACATTGTTCGGAATCTCCTTTGTCCTCCTAGGTCCCAAAGCTTTATTGTGACATTTCCCTTTGTCACTTTTCTCATGTTGAACCCTATCTGGGTTTCACAGTAGGAAAAAATTTCTGTTATACAATGTTCAAATATGCTCTCTCTCTCTCTCTATATATATATTTATTTATTTATTTTTTTACTCAAAATGGGAAAAAATACTTACAGTTGGAATCATATCCTCACTGTATCCTCCTGTCTGGTGAAAATGATCAAATGATTGATGTCAAAAATATTGTTATTTATCAATAAGCAGCGAAAGAAAATCAGGATTTGCTCCAACTCACAGCAATTGCATTGACTAGTGATGTCTTCCCTGCATTCTGAAGACCTACCAGAGACAGTTCCATCTCCTGCTTAAAAAATAAGCTGATACAGAAATGTAGAAAAATTATAGGGATTTGGAGGAACCAACAAACCAGTTGTGCTATCCATAAAAACACAAGTCAATGAAACAAAATAAACACAGATACACACACTGTCCCTCATAAAAGTTTATGGATAGATAGATGAGAAGAAGTTATTCAAATGCCACTGCGATAAGGGAGCTTGGATGAATTTCAAGTTGCAGGAGCCGCTACAGGACTTGTGCCTCTTACAAATTGTATTTTTTAGTGTTCATTCTACAGTTGTGGATTTGATCAACTTCACAGCAATTGTACAACCTACAAAAAGGATATAATTTGATTCTGTAGGACAAAATTTTTTCTGTCACATTGGATGTTGCTGACATAGGTGTGTTCACATACAAGCTAGCAAACCACCTTGGAATTGTAAAATAGAAATAAATAACAAGCAGGGAACTATGAATATTTTTTACACATTGATACCAGAGGTTCTTCCAGCAAGATAAAGGAAAAATCGGCGATCGAAGGAAAGGATGGGCAAGAAACAGCTTACCTGCGGAGCCAGGTGAGAAAAGAATCCCAGAGACCCATTTCATTAAAAGGAACTGAGCTTGAGCCTTTGAGGACAGATTCTGAATCTGGCAAAACAGCAATATAAGAGAATCCCTCAATCTTTTTCCCCTTTCCGAAAATGCAAGATGGAAAAGGTATGAAAGTAGAGGATAAGGGAAGAAAACAGGAAGCTTCACCGACTAGGAAGGTAGTGCACAACTCTCTGACTTCGCCGACTAGACGCTAATCACTTTCTGTCGTTGCTATCCTCTGGTCTTTTGCTGCCACAACCGCTCTGTTCTGAATATTCTGCATGCTTTGTTATGCTCCTTTCTAAGCAACCTTCATGGCCTCATGTGGGAGAAGGCACTCGGCAAACAAACGTTAATCGATATTAGTGTTTTGTGTTAAAAAAGCATGAATTTATGTGAAATATTTTTTTCTTGAATTAAATTGAATCATATATTAGAATGCTGTGTGGCTTTATGGAGATTTCATGTTTATTTTATAATATTAATTATTTTTATATTTTCATTGAACATAAAACTATAAGCCTTAATCCAAATTCCAAATTCTAATTCTCACCTTAGAGCTTTGGTCCCAAATCATTGGATTCCAAACCCTAGAACTTTGAACCATAAGGCCTTGTTTAGTACGAAAGCCTGAATTTAGAGGGATTGGTATTAGGATATTGATATTGAAATTGGTAGTGGGAATAAGACTTTAAAATTATATTTGGTATAAGGTAATACTTATAAAGAATAATTATTTTTATTTTGTTTTACAATTAAATATAAAGTATGAAAAGACTATACTACCCTTAAAATAAAAAAAAATGGAACACCTTCTCGAAAATCATGGCAGCGCAAGCTCATCTTCTCCATTTCATGACTGTGCATCTTTTGAGAGAGGGAGATTGAGTTTGAACCTGTGAGAGATGGAGACAAAAGTGATTCTGAGATCTAAATGACAGTGTCTGCAAGATCGGCGACGGAGAATGCAGTGATGGTTGCGAGATCCAGAGGTCATGGCTGTGAGATCTAGAGGTTGGCAGTTGTGAGATCGAGGGAAGGAGAACGCAGTGATGGTTGCGAGATTCAGAGGTTGTGGTTGCGAGATCGGAGAAGAAGAAGGTGTTTGCGTTGGCCGGTGGCTGCAAGATTGGAGAAGACAAAGGTGGAAGGCCAGATGTGTAAAAAAATTGAGGGTATTTTGATCTAAAAAAATTCAATCTCAGGTTTAAATTTTCAATCCCACCTCCCTCATGGGTTTCATTAATCCCGTCTATATGAGTTTCATTAATCCCGTCTGCATGAGTTTCATTAGATATAAGAATTAAAGAATCCATCATACCAAACATTGTATCTGTGAGTTTCTTCAATACTAGTCTTAGTCCCAACCTATCAATACCTCATACTAAACATAGCCTAAATTCCAAGCCCAACGTGTCTAACCAATTTTTTTTAATATAAGGCAATGAAAAAACCATATAAAGAAATCATATCAGGTCATATATAAAACTATAATGTTTTGACAATTAGGAGGTATGTTGTCAAAAATCATAATATCAAAATTATCACTTGATATGAGCTAGAAAATTGGCATATTTATTTAATTTTTTGTAAACATGATCAATCGTAATAAAGTCTTTGACTTTCTCAATGACCACCTAGAAAGGGTGATTTTCAGAGTTATCACATTTTAAGTTTGAATCTTTAAATTCTATTTCATTTACTTTCTCCATTTTAAATTATAAGACACTTGTAGATAAAAATTTCATATACTAATAAACTTCATTAAATATATCTAACAACCTTATCTTTTCAAAATAAAAATATAAAGTTCTAAAAATACCTACATTTAATATATTGAAAAGAGAAAGAATTAAAATTAATTATAGATAGAAAAATAGTAATATTGAAATTGACACATTTAATGAAATTTTAATTTATCTAAAATGTCTTATATTTTAAGATGGAAAAACTCTTTCAAAAATATTTTATAATTTGGGATGGAAGGGGTACCTTATATCCTAAATTTTGCTCTTTGGGTCATTATTCCTAAATGTTAAACCTTAAACCTAAACACGCGTCTTAATGTTAATAGTTTATCTTGAATCATAAAACTATAAACCCTGCATCCAAATCCAAGCCTTAGAGCATAAAACTCTTAACTCTACCCCTAACTCTTGACTCCAAAACCCTAGCTTTGAATCTTAAATCTTAAACCTTCAATCCCCTTGTCCCATCCCTAACCATCAATACTAAAGCTTAAACCATACTTAACTCCTAACTTCAATAAAATCAAAGCCAACTCCTAAACTCTTATTACAAAACTGGAATTTAAAATTTCAAACACCAAATCATACGTCATAAGCACTTTTGAGATGAAACTAATGATTGCACTTACAGTTCAGAACTTTAGGTAAAAATAGATTGAAGCGTTTAAGTAAAAAACTGTGATGGAAAAAAAGGGTATATAATTAAAAGTCATGCACCATTTCTATCACCGAAGAGCAAAATAACAGAAAATATCAAAATTATGTACGATTATTTAAAATTAACCAACAACCAATGCAAGAAAATGACTTATACTTTTTTTTTTTTTTACAATGAAACCCTTAGAACAACGGAAAGTGATAAAAAAGAAAGAAAGTGTAACTTATAATAATACTGCATCTTGTTTTAAATATTTCCCCTTGTCCATTCCATCATCCATCAATCCATCAAAAAGGAAATCCTAAAATTAACGGTATAAATTTTACCTTTCATTTATTTATCAGTTTAAATACTAAATATAAAATTTATAATAATTCACACTATTTATAAATAATATAACTTTTATAAAAAATATACAATCACCTCTCCAAAATTCTATCCATGGAAGCGCTAGTTCTTTTTCTTCTTGTTGGCTTAACAAATAAGGAATTTAGCAAAACTAAATTATAATTAAATACGCGTATTATCTATTCAAAGAACCAAACACGCCCTATATAGTCTTTCGGGGAAGGAAAGAAGCCTCCTTCTCAAAAGTGGAAAACTGGAAATAGTACATCCTCGAGGCCAGGGCGATTTATTCCGAGCCACAAGATAACAAAATACACCGTCTCTTTGTGATGACTCATAGGCGATGAAGCTTGTCGGAGTCTTTTAAGAGTGCTCGAAGAAAGGTAAAAAGGGGAAGTCGACTCGCCTCACGGTGTCGAGGATTTGACCGCAAACCTTCGTAAAACACAATGCCCAAGCAAACTGGGAAAGGCCTACTCTCTTAACGAGTTGCTCTGAAAATCTTTACACGACGGTGACGGAGGTGAAAATTCCGACATACTTCACATCATCGTTCAAAATAATTACGCGATTGTCGCAGTCAACGCCAGCGGCTCCCGGCTTGTGACTTTGGGCGTGGTGGGTACGGAATAGGAATCTAATTCGTGTTACCTGCTCTGATTTGTGCGTTTCTATTTGTTTATTTTCTGCTTGTATCATTTGTTGCCTGGCCTGTGAAGATCTGATCGTTCCCGGCGTTATCTCATAGGGGAATATCGATCACCCACCTTGAGATGGTGAAGGATACCGAATACTATGACGTGCTGGGAGTCAGTCCCACGGCAACTGAGGCCGAGATTAAAAAAGCTTATTACATGAAGGTGAGAATCTGTCTCGTGGATCCTTTACCTTGCTGTGAATAAGCTGATTCTGTTGTTTTCACCAATAATTTGGATTTCTTAGAGTTACATAATTTGCGAGCTATGTAAAACTTATGTAGATCCGTGTTACCTCAACTAATCCGCCTCAATAGGTAGAAAATAGCATATTTGTGGACAGGATATGCCGATATGGGGTAATGGTCCGTCAGTCTCAGTTCTGCCACATTGAACGAACTATGACTAATTAGTATATTGATATTTCTTTTTATCTCGTGTTATTTATTTCTCTTTGTCTTGGGCTTGCAGGCACGGCAAGTACATCCAGATAAAAACCCCAATGACCCTCTCGCAGCACAAAAATTTCAGGCAAGACTGCCATGTTTTACTTCAAACCTATAGCTTTCGAGGATTTGTGCAGCAAATCCTTCCCCTGTTTGGAAATATGTGCGTGTCATGAGTTGGAGTGATAAGAAAATTGTTACTTCGGGCTTGGTGAGTTGGTTAATTGGATTGTGAAAAAGAATTCATATGGAGGGTCCAAAAAACTTGTAATTAAAAGCTCTATTGGAAAATGTGAAAGCCTTTCTTTTTTCACCATTATTATCCTGTCTCTTTCCATTCTTTTTATATTGCATAATTGTATTGGGCGTGCCTTTAGCGGTGCAAGATATCAATTTTTATCATTCTTTGGGCATAATTAGTGTTTAAAATGGACCCAGATATTGGATTAGGTTCATATTTATAAAAAAAAAAATATGTACTTTAATTAATTTTACCTTTGTGGTCCCTCAATGTTGAATTGTTGGTGGCATTCAACAGCAGAACTAAATGTTTTGACGTGAATGAATTTTTTATTGCCCTGTTGTTTCCTATTGCTAAATTGCCCTGTTGAGGTAAGTGCAAGTGTGGCTTCAACTAAATATGTTATATTCTCCAATGCTGAATTCATGCTGTTTCTCTCAATTTAATATCTGGCTGTTTATACCATTCTTTCATCAATTTGTGTTGCCTGGATTGTCCTGCTGTTAATCAACTTCTGATGCCATTAATGTTTTCCAATGTTGCTAATCTGTTTTTAGGTTTTGGGCGAAGCTTACCAGGTTTTGAGTGATCCAAATCAACGACAAGCTTATGATACTCATGGAAAATCTGGAATCTCAACGTTAGTTTTTATTTTTTATTTTTTAATTCTTAACATATGAATGAACTATTTTGAATATCAATGTTTACAAGGTGTGCCACATATTTGGTCTTGTGCTGATTCTGAGCTACTCTGTTCGTCTCATTGCAGTGATGCAATTATTGATCCAGCAGCAATCTTTGCCATGCTTTTTGGCAGTGAGCTTTTTGAGGAGTACATAGGCCAATTAGCCATGGCATCAATGGCATCAATGGATATCTTTAGTGAGGGGGAAGAATTTGATGCTAAAAAGTTACAGGAGAAAATGAGGGTACATATTTTTACTCTTTCTCATCATTTGACGTCATGACTGCTTTTAGGTGATCACCTACATATTCTCTGCGATGAGGAATCTATATGCATAATAAATTATTACTTGTTTTGTTGTCCTATTGTGTTATTGGAGAATATTTTATCACCCTGTAGCTTGACTAATTGTAAACGAATAGAAATAGTGGCTGAGACAATTGTTGCTTGAAGTGTGTGCCATAGACTTCTAACCTGTTTAGCTTCCTCACCATCGCTTCCCACTAGTCTTGCACATTTGAACTTCATGCTGTAGCCTCTATGTGCACGGTGGCTGTAGTGTTGGTCTATCAGTTGGGCAACATCTGAACCATTTTTTTTTTTCAATAAACAATACTAAACACCCCCAAGCAGCAAACCTCAAGTATTGCTCCGTAGACTTCTTGAACGAATTGGTGTGGTGTCAAATTTTGGAGATTTTATGATTCCATTTGACATGCTGAAGATAAGAATATTTCATGCTTTGTTATAATTATAGGGACGTGTCTACTTGTATGGATGAGTAGAAGTTATTGTGCAGTTTGAGTTGTCATCTAGATGTGTGAGAAATTGCAGCTAAATACTCTCTAACAACTGCTATTCTTATTGGAATTTCGGCTTTATGTAAGCAGGAGCTAGTTCGTTGTTTAATTTTTAATGATTTTCTTTCCACTGTTCTTCTGGCAGTTTTTTATTTTATCTTTCATTAGGTGCATTTTTTTATATTCACTGGGTGTTTTGACAGTTTCCTTCTTCCTTCAGGTTGTTCAGAAAGAGAGAGAAGAAAAGCTTGCGGAGATACTTAAAAATAGACTAAACCAATATGTCCAAGGAAGCAAATTGGAATTTACCAAGCATGCAAAAGATGAAGTGTCACGACTATCCAATGCAGGTACTAGGGCCTAATGGTTCTTCCAAAATTACAGCGAATTCCATGAGTTAACAAATGATGTGGCTTCAAGTGACATGTCAAGAATTCAAGGTTGCTGCATATTTGGATTGCCTTTTTTCATTGCAAATATCAAACTAGGATTGCTACGAATGATTGAAATTAAAGCATATTGTGTTCCGAAAATCAATCTATGTTTTGAAAATTGACTGTACATGACATGGGAAAAGCTTAACTTGGCCTAAATATTGAGTTTTTGTATAAATTTGTTGGAGAGTGTCTTCCAAAATCTTTTGCTGATGTACTGAGGTCCTTGCTGAACAATCTTTTGTTCATCCTACAGCTTATGGGGTTGACATGTTGAATACCATTGGCTACATATATTCAAGGCAGGCAGCGAAAGAGCTAGGGAAGAAAGCAATTTATTTAGGTGTGCCTTTCATTGCTGAGTGGTTTAGAAACAAAGGACACTTTATCAAATCCCAAGTTACAGCAGCTACAGGTCAGAAAATTTAGCGGCTTCAACACTTTAAAAATTTACTTGCTGTGTCAAGATAATTTATTGATTCCAGTCTCTTGTTAACCTTCATATTATGTCTTGCAATTCTATAATTTTTTTCCCTTGAACTTTCCACTTCCAATATTTTTTGTGTTATTATTGTAACTTTCCACTTCCACTTGCTGTGTCAAGATAGAAAACTTTGTAAAAATTGTAAGGTGATCCCTGGAGATGCTGTAACGACACAACATAGGGTCCTAGTCCTTGATGTGTGTATTATGAGTAAAATCCAAAAACGTCGACAAGTAGTAACACCAAGGATTAGGTGGTGGCAATTAAAAGGTGAGAAGCAAGATATTTTCAAGCGAAATCTTTTGGATAAAGGAATTTGGGATTCTCAGGGAAGTGCTAACATCATATGGGAGGATATGGCTAAAAAGATACGGGAGGTTGCAAAAGTAGTTTTGGGAGAATCGAAAGGTCCTGGTCCGAGAGATAAGGAGTCTTGGTGGTGGAATAATAGTGTACAGGACAAAATCAAGTATAAGAAGAACTGTTTTAAAGCCATACATTTGTGTAACAATGAGGAAAATTGGGAGAGGTACCGTATGGCTAAGAAGGAAACTAAGAGAGCTGTGGGTGAAGCTCGTTCTAAAGCTTTTGAAGAATTTTATAAGAACCTTGAGACGAAGGAAGGAGAGCAAAATATTTATAAGATTGCCAAGAGTAGGGAAAGAAAATCAAGAGATCTAGAACAGGTAAGGTGTATTAAGGATGAAGAGGGAAGAATTTTAGTTACAGATGATGAAATTAAAAATAGATGGGAGACTTATTTTTCTAAACTTTTCAATGATGGAGAGGATTCATCTAGTAACTTGGAGGATTTAGTAACTGGTGAAGGAGAACAAAATTTGTCATTCTATCGAAAAATACGTGATAAGGAGGTAAAGGAAGCTCTTAAGAAAATGGCAAATGGTAGAGCTAACGGACCTGATTGTATATCTATCGAAGCGTGGAAATGTTTAGGTGAAGAAGGGGTGAGATGGTTAACTAAGTTATTTAATGTGATTTTACGGTCCAAGAAAATGCCTGATGAGTGGAGGAGAAGTACATTAATTCCTATTTATAAAAATAAAGGAGATATTCAGAATTGTACTAACTATAGAGGGATTAAACTCATGAGCCACACAATGAAATTGTGGGAGAAAGTAATTGAGCACAGGTTGAGATTGGAGACAAGTATTTCTGAGAATCAATTTGGTTTTATGCCAGGTAGATCAACTACAGAGGCGATTTATCTACTAAGGGGATTAATGGAAAAGTATCGTTGTAAAGATAAAGATCTACACATGGTTTTTATTGATTTGGAAAAAGCTTATGACCGTATACCAAGAGAAGTGCTTTGGAAAGCGTTGGAAAAAAAGGGAGTACGGATTGCTTATATTAAAGCCATACAAGATATGTATGAGGGGGTAAAAACTAGTATAAGAACGCCTAGTGGTCAAACAAAGGATTTTCCTATAAAGATTGGGCTACATCAGGGATCATCTCTGAGTCCTTATTTGTTCAACTTGATTTTAAATGTTTTGACGGAACATATTCAAGAGGAAATCCAGAAATGTATGCTCTTCGCGGATGATATAGTTCTTATAGCAGAGACAAGAGAAGAGGTTAATTGCAAACTTGAGTTATGGAGGAGGACATTGGAGTCGAAAGGTTTTCGTCTGAGTAGAAGTAAGACGGAATATTTATATTGTAAATTTGATAAAGGACTATTCGAAAATAATTTGGAAGTGAAATTGGGAGATCAAATTATACCTCAAGTGGAAAAGTTTAGATATTTGGGAGCCATTATCCAAAATGATGGCGAAATCAGTGGAGATATTTCACATAGAATTCAAGCTGGGTGGTTTAATTGGAGAAAAGCTAAAGGAGTTATTTGTGACCGTAAGGTGCCTAATAAACTTAAAGGAAAGTTTTATCGTACTGCTATCAGACCGGCAATGTTATATAGTAGTGAATGTTGGGCTCTAACGGGACAGCAAGAGCATAAAGTTGGAGTAGCAGAGATGAGAATGTTACGATGGATGTGCGGACATACACGTAAAGATAAAATTCGAAATGAGCACATACGTGAAAAAGTGAGGGTGGCACCTATTGAGGAAAAAAATGGTAGAAAATCGGTTGAGATGGTTTGGGCATGTACAAAGAAGACCAAGGGAGGCACCAGTGAGAAGAGTGGAACATATAACTTTGAGTCCGATTAAGAGAGGTAGAGGAAGGCCTAAGAGAACACTCTTGGAAGTTGTTGAACGTGATCTCTTAATTAATAATATTTCTAAAAGCTTAATAAATGATAGAGCACAATGGCGTCTTGCAATCCATGTAGCCGACCCCACCTAGTGGGATAAAGGCTTGTTGTTGTTGTTGTTGTTGTTGTTGTATTATTGTAACTATCATGAACATGGACAACAGATGTTGTATTACTGTAACTACTCTTCTTGCAAATTGCTTTATTGTTGGTTTATTTTTCAATTCGAAGCTGACCTACCGTTTTGAATCCTAGATAGGGATAGGCAGTGCTTGGCTTTTTTTTTTTTTGTTTTTTTTTTTGGCCCCTCTCTCATTTGCATCTAGACAATTGGTCCTGGATAGCAATAGACCCTAAAGTCATGACTCAACTAGATTTTGTGTAGGAATAAGTGAGCTCTCTTTCTCTGTCTCCCCAGCAATCATGCGGAACAAATAATTCTATTCCATTCTCCTGTTCTTTACAGCCAAAATTGCTGTCTTTTTGGTCCTGCCCTATGTTGGTCTGTGTTTGGGTGTGGAGAAATTATAGGCCACACCATCTCTTCAGTTAGGATGCATTTCACCTTATCCATTAATTGATGGTTGGATCTATAAGGGGCAGGCGTCTTCCTTGCATTGGTAGTCTCATTGTAAAGTATGCTCTCTTGGAAATCAGGTGGAAAAGATGCTTAATGAATTACTTCTGTTTAAGATCTCACGAGGCCATGGCTTATGTTCTCTTTCCAGTACTCATTTTGCTTATCCTGTGGATGGAAATACCTATATGCCTTCATATATGGACAAGATGGCTTTCTATTTTCCTATGCTATGGAAGATTTTTCCCCTAATGTTGTCTTGAAGGTGCTGTCTTTGTCCAGTTTAAAATGATTTTTGCATTTTTTCTGGGGCAAGGGATCATAAACTTTCCTACTTAAGTATATATGGTTGCAGACCTCATTTTTCTCTTCTATGGTTAGAGACTAGAGAGGGTAGCTGATAAATATTTTTTCTTCATTGTCGTTTAGGGGCAATTGCTTTGATCCAGCTGCAGGAGGATATGAAGAAGCAGCTAACTGCAGAAGGGGACTACACTGAAGAACAGCTTGAGGAATATATGCAATCCCACAAGAAATTAATGATTGACTCATTGTGGAAGCTTAATGTAGCTGACATTGAGGCTACTCTTTCCCGTGTCTGTCAGATGGTTGTTTTCACTATTCCGTCATCACAATTTTACCTGGCATAATACGGGGTTGAATCCTGAGTTTAATTTACATGATCTGTGTTCTACTTTAGGTTCTTCAAGACAATAGTGTTAAAAAAGAAGAACTCCGTGCACGAGCTAAGGGGTTGAAATCTCTTGGTAAAATTTTTCAGGTATTTCTTTTCCCAATTCCTTGTCTCCGAATTATAGCTGCTTACTGATGATCAATTATTTCTGAAACTCAATTTGGATGTAGGGTTAAGCTGCTTAATGATTGTGAAATAATCTTGAAAATGCTCTTGAAATGTAGGGAGTTAAGACAGCCGAAGGGAATGAGAATGAAAATGTACCAAATAAACCAGGAATACATAAATTGAATGGTAGTGAAACGAGTGATGACGCATGTTCTCCTGGTACCTCTAAAAAATGTTCAAATCCTGATCTTTCACCACACACTGACTCTCTGTCTCAGGTACATCCATTCCTATATACTTGTCTTGCTATGTCATTCTTCATGCAAATTAGGGGAAGTTTAGGCGACCCTTTCTTTTATCAAAACATCTTATGTATATGTTCTTTATCTTTTATTTTTTTAATATAGTTGATATATATGCAAAAGATTGGTTTTGCATCCAAGATACCTTTAGCCTAGGACAGTTCCGTTTTGTTAAATTCCTTGTACAAGTGGCTGACTTTCACATCCGTGAATCGATAATTTTGATAATTTCAATAAAATAGGACTTGTACCTGTACGTATTAAATAAAGTCCAAATTTCATACCAAGTATGAAATTCCTAAATGATCCAGTATCTTTTATCCTGGTATTTTTAATACCTGAAAATGCAAGATACCAATCCAATTCATTGAAAAAAATTTAAAATGACTTTCTTTTTTTTAAAAAAAAATACATCTGAACAATGATGGTGTAAAAAATCTTAACCTCATAATATTGATTTTTCCCGTTTTTCTTGACTTGATTGGATAATGCAGAGTCCCTATGTGGAGGCCCCTCAATTTCCAGGCTCGGACTTCAACTTCCCTAGGCCAACCGCACCCCCTGGTGCCCAGAGACTTCCAATCAACAGGGATTGATGATAGATTTTGATGCTCCTGTTTGTGTATTTCTGTCTTGGCCGGTATTGTATCTATAATATGTATATTTGGTTCGATCTTATTCTTGAGATTAGGTTTTATAGATTTGCCTTGTGGATTATTAGGATGATTGGGAATGGATGGCCTTATTTTTTCTTATGGCTGAGGTGGCCTTGTTATTAGGACCTCCTTTTACGGAGATGCCATGATACATGGATGCTTCTATGAATCTTGTGTGGTACTAAGATTAATTATGTACGAGATTTTTAATTAGTGAATTTGAAGTGAATGTCGATCTTTTGCAAATAGAAGCATCACTTGTTTCAGACGTAGTTATGGAACGCATTTGTATAGGTCCACACTCTTTTATCTGCTATTTTCCATTAGTGATGGATGAATTTTAAATTTTAAGTATGTTGATTATCTGTCTTATGTTTCTATTAATAGATATGCAGTGTTGTTTTACTTTTATCCTTATTTGTTGTTATAACAGACTTTACAAATAAAGGAATGATAAATTACAAGTCACTTGAGTGGCCGAGTCAGGCCAGCTTGGAAATTACTGTTGTAATGAGGATACGTGGTTTTGACTGTGGCCTTTCGTTGTTACTGTTGAACATTGATCAATAGTATTGTATACTTTTTTAAATTAAATGTCAACACTTAGATGTCTTTTATATCGTGAGATCTTTTTCAGACGTAATAGTTTTATAGTAAGCAAGTTGAGACTGCGTGGAATGACAATCAAGCAAACAAATGCACACGCGGTGCAATATGAAGGCAAATATTTTTATGTTGTGTTTAAATGAATGGAGATTTGAATTTATGCAAGATTTTCTATTTGGATATTTGAAAATTTATAATTTAGGTTTGATGCAAATTCATTTCTTATAATTTTTTTTAGAATTTTAATTTTTTTACCATATTTATTTGAAATTCTAGTCATTCCATCTCTCTCTCTCTCTCTTTCTCTCTCTGTTTTTTTTTTTTTTATTGTTGATGTTTCTGTCACTCACCATTTCTTTCATTTGGTTCTAATGTCTGTGGTGTGTGTGTGTGTGTGTGTGTGTGCTGTTTTTTTTTTTTGGGCCGGCGGTTCTTATGTCTCGCTAATTGGAGATAAAAGATAAACTTATTGCTCTAAATTTTCGTTTTCAAAAAAAGAAGACGAACAAAATAAGGCAATCAAAACAAAAGGAACAAAATAACTTAAATAAGGGAGTCAAAACAAACCCAACACATATAATGTGCATTAAAGATTCAAGTACACATCCGATTCTTCAGCACGTGCCCTAACCCTACAACACATGGAACCTAGAAAGAGGCTTTTAAATCATCTGATACTGACAATAATACAACAAATGTATTACCAGATTCAACTAGCAATTTTTTTTTTGGGAGTGACAAAATGATGACAAATGGAGAGGAATAGTAACTAAAAAGCAAAGTGCTTCTCAAATACATCGTTTTTTAAAAAAATGGTCAAAAATTCCATTTTAAATAGAGATATTTCTCCCTCACATTAGTCAATTTTGTCGTAATGATTCTTCCCGTTGAAGAGTCCAACTAGTTTAACGCGTAATTACATAGTAATCCTTTTCAGCCAATAGAGAAACGATTAAAATGGCAGAAACGTGAATAACAGCAAGAGAATAATAAAAAGTAGCCAAATTTGAAAAACAGGAATATTCCTTAGCCGACTTTAATAATTGTAATTTCAAAATTTAAAATATCCCATCATGTGCTTCTTGCTTTCACTAATCCCTGGACCATGGAAAGCTCAGAGTCGCTCTCAGGAATGTAAGCAAAAAAACAAGAGGTGTGTCTTGTGATTGGCTCCACAATCATTAAACTGTTAGGATTCTTGATCAATTATCTTCTCGACAGCGACGGGGTAACTCCATCTGTGTCTGTTATTTTTTAAAAAAGAATTATTGTTCAGATTATAATTCCAATTATGCATATGTTTTGCTTTGTTTCTGGTTCATTAATTTTGAAGAAACAACAAATCATCAGCAAATTAATATCGGTTCGGTACCGTGTTAAAATATAAATTTGATAATAAATTGTACTTTTGTAATTTTTTTATAAGTCATTTTTACTAATCTCTCAATATCAATACAAAATAAGTAAAAGTAATAAAAGTATGAAAAATTTCAAATATCCTCTTATATAGCAAATATAAAAAGTGATGTTATATTATTTTTTATTTTTCATGAATGATAAATTTAAAAATATATTTTAAATATTACCTAAAAAATCACCACATAAACCCTCAATCCAAGCAATGAGGCTTATAAATTCAAAGTGTCTTTTCACCCAACAATTTTTTTTTTTTAACATGGGCCCTTCCTTAATCTTGATTTACTTTTAATTTGGATGACAAGAGAGATTGGGAGGAGAAAATACTACTTTCTTTGTTCAATGTTTACTCCTTCTGGATCACAATAAACGTCATAGTTAACTAATTCATAATTTAAAATATTGTTAGTTGAAACCTTAAATTTTTAAATGTACACATCTTTCATTTATATCTTCATTAAATACCATATATAAAAGTCTTGATAATAATAATTAAAATTTTAATACATAATTTTTTTTAAAAAGTGATAAATGAAGTAGGGGTATGTTTGGAAAAATAATTTAAAAGTTACCCAATACCTTATATTTTAAACTAGGTAAGGTTTTTTTAGAAGATGCATTATATTGTGATTCAAAAGGAGTATAAGGTATTTTTAATTGAATTTGCAACTTTAACAAGTTAGCTAATTTTTTTAAAATTATTTTTTTCATATTTATTCAGATTTAGTAGAATGTCCCAGTTAAAAAACCTTATTAATTATAGTTCCAATTAAGGAATTTAAAAAAAATCATTAATTTCACCTTGAAATATCATAAATATCTTTTTTTACATCTTATTTTAAAAAAATATCTTATAATTTTTAATAGAGGAAGCAGAAAATAAAACTTTTAAAAATAGACTCATGAAGTTAAATGAATGGATTTATCGAGAGATCTGCCTCTTGAAGCATTATCATTTACCCTATAAGTCTAAAGGGAGAATTTATTGTAAAAGAACAACTTTATTGAATAGAAGAATTTTTTAAACTTTTAAATCTCACGTTTTTTTGAGAGACTCTAGATATAAGTCTTATAACAAAATTCTTTTTCTCAACATAAATTAAAAGTTGAGAATATCTATGAGATATTGCATTACTGAATTCAATCTGAACATTCTCAGGTTTAAATGCAAAAGAAAAAAAAAATTTTAATGTAATATTTTCGTTTTTAAATTTTGAACTTTAAACATAACTTAACAGGTATAAATTCTTTTAAATCCATCTAACTATTATTGATATATGTGTATGTGTTTATATGCCTGTAAGTTATGTCAAGTGTAAATAAATTTGAGTTAACATAAAAAAATCTCATATTGACTAAAATTAAATTTAATAATTAATATAAAATAAAATAAAATAATTTATAAACTTGAGTTTTAAACTTGACTATATAAAATGTAATATTCTTCATTGTTTATTGCCCATTTGTTCTTCTATCAATTCCAAACAATTTGTTCTATTATTTGTTTCATTTTGTAATGCCAATCAAAACCTTGATATACATATATATATATATACTAATAATAATTGCATATCAGCCATCAAAATATATTCTACCCAGGTATAAACTGGATCTGAATCTTAAATATACATGCACGTTACACACGAAAAAATGCTTTCTTTTTTTCAAAATCAATTCAAAGGGCCACATCATGTTCAATTAGGTGTGCTGTATTTTTGAAAGTTATTGGAAGTAATGTTGGAAGAACGGATATGCACTGATGACCTGTTTTAGTTTTTTAGTTGATGAGTCATGTTTTCATGGGCCACAACAATGTCGGTGGCTACGTGGTCTCAAAATGTGAGTCTATTTATGGAAGCAATGTCGAATCCCAATTCAACTTTCTACTCCTAAAACGGCATCGTCCTGACCTACCCACGCCACATTATATTTCATCTTCTCGTCAAACTTGATTCCTTTTCTTTTTCTTTTTTTCTGAAGTTCTTAATTAATTGATTATTAAAAAATGAACACAAACATATAAACGAAACTGTGTGTACGCGCATTGGCCTAGTAAGCAAAAGTGCCAAACTTCTTCTCCACATAACCATTTCAAGTTTCAAGTTTTATTAAATTTATAATGATGTCTTAAATACTTAGCCAACAATCAACTTGATTGACTTGATTAATTTAGAATTGGATTGTAATGAAGACCAGGCCAATATTTCCGTGCTTAATTACAAATAGTAATTAGAAAACTTAATTGTTTTCTGAGATCTAAAAGTGTTCTTATTTCTTACCAACAAAGCATGAGACTTGGTAAAGCTAATCCACCCATTTTTACGTTTTTTAATAATTATTTGTATTTGTATTTATGAGTGTAAAATTTTAAGGATCAATTGATGTCTAATAAATTAATTTCGTTAAAAAAAAAAAGTTATGCAAACAATTTTGGACATGCATGCCAATAACTGAAACACGGGATACAACCTCAATTATCAGGCTTTTTATTATTTGCCACCTGCCATTCAAGTCGCAAGATTTAATCCGTTGCTTTCAGAGAAGTTTATATTCATATAATAAATATAAGTTATTTCCATAACTTTAAAGTAAATTGCCTTATTCATATTCAAAAAAGGAAATTGCATTATTCATATTTTATGTAATTAATAGTAATTGGATTAAAGATGGTTATTCATTTACTTTTATTGGCATTTGACCAACTTATTGAACATAATTCAAATCATCTTGGCATGTTCATGCATCTTGAACTTTGAGGAGGTCTTAACGAAATTATGTGATGTAATTACAATTGTTTGGTCGAAGATTTTTAGATTGTTATGACCAATAAAAGATTTTTAAATTGCTGCTGCTTGCTATTTATTTTAAATTAATTTATCCATTTACATGATTATTGTAATTGATTGCAAACATGATGGGTCTACCTTCTCGAATTTCTTTTAATTTATTTGATTCAGTTTTCTACGCCAATTTTTTTGCCCTCATTTTCAGTGCATCCATTTCACAATCCCAATTCTCTTTCTCATTCCTTTATTATCATATTTTGCTTTTCTTTTTCTTTCTTTTCCTTTTTTATTTCCTCCTTTCACTTTCACTTTCACTTTCTTTCACATTCTCAAGCGCAGATGAAATAAAAGGGGGAAAAAAGAAGCAAAAGCACCTGTTCCTCCATAAAACGACTCTCTCATCCATCTAAAATGGCTAAATCACACGCCATAAGTTTTCTATTTTGAATTAAGCTACTCCAGAATTTTAAATAGGTAAGAAATATTAATCCAATTCCCCCATAGAAATAACACATATGCGAAGAGAGAAAGTTGGGT